ACTGAAATCCTTTAATTCGGCTGCACAATTTATACAAGTCCCCATGCAAGGGGTTTCCTGAGTCCCTTCCCAGGGGCACTCCCAGAGGGGACTACATGGGGGACTTACATTACAAGGCATTTTTCCCATCAGGCACTGCTGCACGAGAGGGATCCTCCCACTGGAATATACCGTTAAGTGGATTATCCATCCGTGCAGCAGAACTTACAATTCGTATAAAAATACATAACTTTATGAATATGCAGTCTATTTAAACGAATGGACGTTCGGTAGATAGCTGGAGTCTGAGCGCATCATTCGTGAGATTACCGCTCAGATCCCAGCTAAAGTAACCGAACGCCGCACACGAAAAACACATTCATTACAAAATATATTAAAAGAACTGATTGCCTTCCAGGGAATAAAATACCGAACGGCCTGAAACTCCCGAACGTCCTGGAGGTTCAGCGGTGTTCGTGTCGTCGAGTAGCCGTCTTTAGTACCATGCGCTCGACGACCTAACACCGCTGAGGGAACAAAGGATCCAAGATGGCCGACCGCCGCATGGTCGGTAGTCGAGCGACGGCCACCCAGGAGAGCCTTTAATTTCCGATTGCAACATTGTTGCAATCGGTTAACCAGCGCCACACGCCTCTAAGTGTGTGGGCTATTAGGGGTAGTGTTTTCGGTTCACGAACGGCCTTCCAAAGTGCCGTTCGTGAAACGAAAGAAAAACCCCATACAAACTGCTATCTGCATTCGGCGGATAGCAAATACAGGCAATCTAATACAGTACAGTCAGCATACAATACATGGAGTAAAACACATATCTCCCCATACATATAGGTAACCCTTAAAGGTATAGTCCCAGGTTATAGTCCAAGTGGCTAGGTTTGCCACAAATATGTCAAAGACGGCTGAGGTATTGCAGAAATGTGGTGAGTCGCCCAGTGCCTTTTATGACAGATTATTGGAGGCATACCGATTGTATACCCCCTTTAGTCCAGAGGCTCCTGAGAATTCCGGATGGTTAACTCTGCCTTTGTCAGCCAGGCTTACGGAGATATTAAAAGAAAATTGCAAAAGCTAGAAGGGTTTGTAGGGATGTCTATAACTCAACTAATGGAAATAGCAAATAAGGTTTATATGAATAGGGAGACAGAGACGAAGAAGGAAGAAGAGCGTAAGATGAGAAGGAAGGCAAATATGTTAGAGGTAGCTATCGCTGGTGTAGATAGAAGGGAAAAGGAAGTGTACAGGGGAACCGAGAAAAGCGAGAATAAGTGGAATAGGGAGCCTTTAAGTAGGAACCAATGCGCATATTGTAGGGAAGAAGGGCATTGGAGGAGTGAGTGTCCATTGAGGGAACAACATGAGAGAGAGAGAACAAGGGGAGGATATAGTAATAACTAGAGTGAGGTAGAGTGAGAGGAAGAGGAGGCCCTGGAGGAAATGGTGGGAATAGTAGAGGAAGCGTTCAAGGGGATAGGTATTACCCAGCAGCGCAGAGACCGCGAGAAAGAGAAGATAGGGACTTTGTGGGTTTGGCTGACACTGTCATGGAGGACTATTGATACCGACTGGGCTCCATCCCCCTTGGTCGAGTGGAGCCTATGGTCAATGTAGCAATAGGGGGAAAAAGGAGTTCTTTCATGATCGACACTGGTGCTGAACATTCTGTGGTAACCGACCTAGTTGCTCCTCCTTCAGGAAGAACTATCACTGTAATAGGAGCAACTGGGAGGAGTGCTGCTAAACCGGTTCTCAAAAGTCGACTCTGTACACTGGGAGGCCACATAGTGAAACATCAGTTCCTTTATATGCCTGAATGTCCAGTCCAACTTCTAGGACGGGATTTGTTGTCGAAGTTACAAGCACAGATAACATTTCTGCCTAACGGAACGACATCCTTGAAGTTTAATGGACCCTCAGGTATAATGACACTATCAGTACCAAAGAAAGAAGAGTGGCGACTTTATACAGTGATGACAAGTCAAAACCCTAAGAGTGATGAATCCTTGTATAATATACCAGGAGTGTGGGCAGAAAATAACCCACCAGGACTTGCTCGCAATATCCCACCTATACGCATCGAACTAAAGCTTGGGGTTTATCCAGTAAGCCTGCGACAATACCATATACCTCAAAAGGCGAAGAAGAACATACAGTCTTATTTGGATAAGTTCATAAGGTATGGTATCCTAAAATTCTGTACTTCCCCCTGGAATACTCCATTGTTGCCTGTTCAGAAGCCTGGGTCAGATGAGTATCGTCCTGTGCAGGATTTGAGAGCAGTCAATGATGCGGTAGTAAGTATACATCCAGTTGTGCCCAATCCTTATAACCTGCTTGCCTTGATTCTGGGTGGGGCTACTTACTTTACAGTCTTGGACCTTAAAGATGCCTTCTTTTGCCTACGAATTGCTACAGAAAGCCAGTGTATCTTTGCATTCCAATGAGAAGATGATGTAACAGGCTTGAAACGTCAGATGACCTGGACAAGATTGCCCCAAGGGTTTAAAAATTCACCTACCCTATTTGGATCAGCATTAAGTCAGGACTTATTAGATTTCAAGTCCATCCCAGGAGAATGTGTACTACTACAATACATGGATGATTTGTTGATAGAGGCAGTTACTAAAGAGATATGCCAGCAAGCAACTTATGATTTACTGCACATTCTTTGGAAGGCAGGATACAAGGTGTCCAGGAAGAAAGCTCAGTTGTGTCATCCAACTGTCAAGTATCTGGGATTCCATATCTCTCTAAAGGTCAAAGGATAATGGGGCCTGAAAGAAAAGAGGCTGTATGCCAAATACCAACACCTAAGAATAGAAGACAAGTGCGAGAATTCTTAGGGGCAGCAGGCTTCTGTAGGATATGGATTCCCAGTTATGCGATACTGGCGAAACCCCTCTATGCCGCTATTAAAGGCACGGAACATGATTCTTTCCTGTGGACCATCGAACAGCAGAAGGCATTTGAGAATGTTAAGAAGGCATTGATGAGCGCCCCCGCATTAGGTCTACCTGATCATACACGTCCATTCTACTTATATGTACACAAGCAAAGAAGGATGACTGTGGGAGTACTGACACAGTATCTGGGATCATGGCAACGACCTGTTGCGTATATGTCCAAACAACTGGATGCAGTAGCCAGTGGTCTTCCTTCTTGTCTAAGGGCCGTAGCTGCCGCCGCCCTGTTGGTAGCAGAAGCTGACAAGCAAACTCTGGGTCAGGAACTCTATGTGCGAGTCCCGCACGCAGTACAGACGTTGCTAGACTATAAAGGTAATCATTGGTTTAGCAATAGCTGCATGACTAAGTATCAAGCCATGTTATGCGAGAACCCGAGAGTGCATCTTGAGACTGTTAATACCTTGAAACCAGCTACCCTCTTGCCGCAACCTACTGAGAGTCGACATGATTGCCTGGAGGTAATGGATGAAGTGTTCTCAAGTAGACCGGACCTTCATGATTTTCCCATCCAGAACCCCGATGTTCAGTATTACACGGACGGCAGTAGTTACGTGAAAGAAGGGATTCGCTATGCCGGATATGCAGTGACAACTATAGACAAGGTGATAGAAGCGCGGCCATTGTCAAAAGGAACATCAGCACAGAAGGCAGAATTAATCGCACTTACACGGGCTTTGCAATTGGCTGAAGGGTTGAAAGTAAATATCTACACAGACTCAAAGTACGCGTTTTTAACCACTCATGCCCATGGAGCTTTGTATAAAGAAAGAGGATTACTGACCTCAGAAGGAAAAGAAATCAAGTACGCAGCTGAGATATTACAACTATTGGAAGCTGTATGGGAGCCGAAGGAAGTTGGTATCATACATTGTCGAGCACATCTGAAAGGTGATGGTGATGTGGTGAAAGGAAATCGGATGGCAGATAGTGCAGCTAAGCGTGCCGCTGAATCCGGACAAAAAGAATATGTGGAGTGTGTAGCAGCTCTTATACCGACCCCTCTGTCCCAGTGGACTCCAGTTTATACAGCTCAAGAAGTAGAGTGGTTAAAGACTGAAGCTGGGAAATATTTGGAGAATAATTGGTATCAGTTAGAAGATGGAAGAATAGTTATTCCAGCATCGCTAGCTGTAGAAATTGTCCAGAATTATCATAATGGGACACATTCTGGAAGAGATAGTATGGAAGAATCTCTTAGGAAGCATTTCTACATACCAAGATTGTCCAACTTGACTCAAGCCATTGTTCGAAGATGCGTGTCATGTGCCAAGAACAACGCAAGGCAAGGTCCAGTGAAACCACCGGGAGTCCAGTACATGGGAGGGCTTCCTATGTCCGATCTCCAAATAGACTACACGGTAATGCCCAAATCCGGCGGACATCGTTACCTACTAGTAGCTGTGTGTACCTACTCAGGATGGGTAGAGGCGTGTCCAACTCGTACAGAGAAAGCAGGAGAAGTTGTGCGATTTCTGTTGCGAGAAATAATACCCCGATATGGACTACCGTGTTCTATAGGATCAGATAATGGTCCAGCTTTTGTCCATCAGTGCCTACAACAACTGACTCATATGCTTGGTATTAAGTGGAAACTTCATACAGCATATAGGCCTCAGAGTTCTGGGAAAGTGGAAAGGATGAACAGAACCATTAAGACCCAGTTGGCAAAAATATGTCAAGAAACCCAACTTAAGTGGAATGTTCTTTTGCCAATAGCTCTGTTGCGCATTCGTAGTACACCTACCAGAAAGTTAGGTCTATCACCCTTTGAAATTATGTATGGGCATCCACCTCCCATACTTAGTAACTTAAGGGGGGACTTGAGTCAGTTGGGAGAAGGAATTACCCGGCGGCAGGTTGTAGAGTTGGGTAAAACTATGGAGGAGGTACAGAAATGGGTACAAGATAGGTTACCTGTAAATATTTATCCACCTGTCCATTCTTACCATCCAGGAGACCAGGTTTGGATAAAGGAGTGGAACAGTGTACCGTTGGGGCCAAAGTGGAGGGGTCCTTATGCTGTTCTTTTGTCTACTCCAACAGCTATAAAGGTGGCAGAGGTGACTCCGTGGATTCATCACTCCAGGGTTAAACCAGCAGCAGATTCTTGGTAAGCTACTCAAGATCCTGAGAATCCCTGCAAGATCCGGTTGAAGCGAGTGACCCAGTTAGATTAAAAGTGGTTTTTGCAAAGAGTATTGTTACAAGGGAACATCAGCAAAGATCTACAAGTAGGTGTTTTGACGGCCACAATATAGCCTGACCACCTACCAATGTTTAAGCCAGAGGAATCCTCTGTGAAGAACAGTGAGGATAAGAAGGACTCCATTCCCTGCAGCCCTCACACGCCTGGAAGCTGAGGTGCTGTCGCACGGTCGAAGAATTAGGAAGATGATGTCAGGAGTAATGTGTTTGATGTATATATGTGTGTTTTTAATTATTCAGGAAGGTAGAGGTAGCGACACACTAGGCTGCGAGGTTTGCATTAAGACTACGAAAACAGGCAATCGTATTTCCCAGACCCTTATTTGGCATTCGCAATATGAGTGCACAGGACATGTATCAAAGTGTAGATACCTAGGTACAGATTATAGTGTATGCCATATAGGAGCAGGAGAACCTAGGTGTTTTAATCCTGAGTATCAGCCCCGTACAATTTGGTTGACTATTCGGAATGAGAACGCACAGGGGAACCTGATAAATAAGACTGTACTAGAAAGCGTACATTCTCCAGGTGTTTTGCTATTTGATGCATGTAAGGCGATATCAGGTAGTAGGAAGCCATGGAATGTATGTGGTGGTCTTAAATGGGAAAGAACGTATGGGTCTAATGATAAGTATATTTGTCCTAGTAATAAGCATAAGTATATAGATCCAAACTGCCTAAATAAAGACTACAATTATTGTCCGTATTGGTCCTGTGTGGGATGGGCAACCTGGGGACAGACAGTAGATAAGAATATGATTATCACTAGATTGCCTACCAAGCCATATTGTAAGTCTATGGAGTGTAACCCAGTCCATATACTTATCAAGAACCCAGAGCTATTTATAGATAAGTTTTGGAATCTATTTGGGTTCCAAATATATGGAACAGGTTTGGATCCTGGGACGATATTATACATAGGAATAGAGACAGATACAGTGGCCCCCCAGACTCATCAGGTTTTCCATTCTTTTTATGAGGAGATGAGTGTGGAAGATAAGGTTCCCCATAATGCCAAAAACTTATTCATAGACCTAGTTGAGAGCATTGCTGGTAGTCTTAATGTAACCAACTGCTATGTGTGTGGAGGTACTAATATGGGAGACCAATGACCTTGGGAAGCAAAGGAGGTAATGTATTCTGGTTCTGAGACAGTTGAACAACTAATATCTTCTCAATCTGGTTATCAAGTGAGTGTTAGAGGTAAATCTGAGTGGCGATTAAAGACCTCCATTATAGGTTATGTTTGTATAGCAAGGAAAGGAATAATGTTTAATACATCTGTAGGAGAATTGACTTGTTTAGGGCAGAAAGCCTATAATGACGATACAAAGGATATTATTTGGTGGTCAGCTTCAAATGTCTCAGAACCGTCTAATCCGTTTGCAAATTATACCAATTTAAAGGATGTATGGTTTGACCTATCTGCTACATCTAGTTGGAAAGCCCCAGCAAATTTGTACTGGATTTGTGGTAAGAAAGCATATTCGGAGTTACCACAGGACTGGGAAGGGGCATGTGTATTGGGTATGCTCAAACCATCCTTCTTCTTGTTGCCAATTGAAACAGGAGAGACTTTGGGAGTTAAAGTATATGATGTAAATCATAGGAAGATAAGGGCACCCCTAGAGATAGGTACCTGGGAAGATGATGAGTGGCCTCCCCAGCGTATTATAGATTATTATGGGCCAGCTACAGAACCCCAATATATATGCTTAATCGTATTATAAGATTGCAAGCAGTAGTTGAGATAGTTACCAATGAAACATCACAAGCGCTCAATCTCCTAGCGAAGCATAACACTAGGATGAGGACAGCCATCTACCAGAATAGATTAGCTTTGGATTACCTATTGGCAGTAGAGGGAGGTGTATGTGGGAAGTTTAATCTAAGCAATTGACTTCAAATAGATGATGAAGGGCAAGCAATAGCTGAGCTTAATAGCCATATGGTTAAGCTAGCATATGTACCTACTCAGGTATGGAAAGGGTATAATCAGAGTAGTTGGTTTGGTAGTTGGTATGAGCAGTTTGGAGGAATCAAGGCATTGGTAGGTGGAGTCATACTGATTTTGATGTTGTGTCTCCTTCTGCCATGTCTGATTCCTTTGGTAATTAGGTCTATGCAGAGCATTATAGAAAGTATAGCAGAAAGAAAGGCCGCAGCACAGGTAATGGCTGTTTGCAGGTATGAAGCTCTAGATCAAGGAGAATACATGCAGGAAGAGGAATGTTGAGGGGTTCGTATCTTTAGAGGATCGCAAAGTCTAGTCTGGTTTATGGCAACTTGAGGTGTAAGCAAACTATGATTGGTGATGCATCTGGAATTATTTTAAATCAGAAGCATCAAAGGGGTGAATGTGATGGAATTCCAGTAGGTACATGTGTTTGTAGTATCAGTTAGTTAGTTACACGTAGCTAAGATACTGTCATCACTGTACTGAGCATGTGCAGGAACTGGAATTACGCGTTCCTCTCCTTTGTTTCAGATGAGCCACGTGGTTAGACCGGATGGATGAGTTTAGACTCTATTCATTGATTAGGTTAAGGGTATGTGTGGGCGTAGCTAATTATGGGAAGAGCTACAGTGCTATATAAGGAATGTACTCTATGTATTCAGTACTCAGATCTTTGCTGTTTTTGGTGACATAAGTCCCTCTGAGTCCCGGTCCGTGAATCGAATAAAGATCTCTTCCTTCCTGAAGAAACCTGTGTCCATCTCTCTGTGCTTGGCCTCCGTCACTTAAAGACCACATATACACTGTAGTACATGAAGCTAGGGCTCCCTGCAAACATAATGGATTGGCCATAGTCATCCATAAACGTTGCCCTCTTCAGGTAAACAAAGTTGTCCCAGACACAGATGGAAGATACCTTTTGGTATCCAGGAAAATCCACAAACAAATCCTTCACAATATTTATGCTGGGCCATGCCCAGCCGCCGACAGTAGTCTCATTAAGTGGTCAGACCATGTGGACATAGTGATACATTTAGATAAAATAAGCGTAGCCTCCCCTTGGACATGGAAATTAAACAACTCCTTACTTAAAGACAATGCCATCATAAATACTATCCATAAGGAGTTAAAAGAACGTCAAGAGCTAAACCAGTCTAACTCTTGACATCCCAATAGGCACAGACTGGGCGGCGCATAAAGCCGCGATAAGAGGTTCTCTCATCAAAATAGCTACCCGTAAGAAACAACAAAAAAACAAAACTTTTTTCTTTTATAATTCTTTATTTTTGATGTGCATAGGAGTATCAGACAATCAGGCTATGCCACAACAGCAATAGCATAGATAACAAATAATAACAATTGTGATAGCTTAGCAGCATTTGAGATTACTGCATAATTGTTTTAGGAGAAAATATTCAGGCACAGAAAAAATGGTATACATTACGATTGCAAAGGAATATTAAATCGTGCTGGCGACTAATGTATGCACCACTTAATAAGGTGTAGCACAGAGTCATGCTATATTAACAAGTAACTGGAGGCTAGACTAACATGTCACACCTGAAATATAAACTAATCATTGAAAATATATTACACAAAAAAAGATGCAGTAGGGCTGCGCCAATACGAATAAAATAGTCTTAGAAAGGGTAGGAGGTCTCGCTAGAGTAGCAGTAGATAATCATGGAAACCTGATAAGACGTATTCTCTTCAATGGGAGTGGATACATCTCAGGGTGTTAGTTCGTATATATGAAACAGAGAAGAGGCAGAAAGCAATCAATAATACAGTACGTCTAGAGTCCAAAAGTGCAGTAAGTAACAAGAGGTAGAGAACTCACATTTAAAAGAGCTAGGGCCAGCTTTGGTGTGAAGAACAGGCATAATCCCCGCTTATGGGGTGTGAGAAGATGTATCCATCAGCACCGTCTGGTAATCCAAAGCTCCAAAGGGAAGATAAAAGGCAACAATAGTGCTCTCAATTGTGATAAAATAGAGTATAAAAGCGTGATAAGAGTAATACTCACAAGTGTAGAGCAGAAACACTGCTCTATTGATATAGCGTTGTTGGTATGATTCCCCACCTCGGATTTACTTGGAGTAACTGCGTAGGGCAGACCGTTCAGCGTGGCTGCCAGGCTCCGCACTCCCAAAAACCAAAACTTTTAACTGAATTGCTAGACTCTCTGTGCAGATTAGAACAACACAAAACATATCCGACACCGACAAAGCTAACAGAACTACAAGCTGTAAGGCACCCAATCAAGGAACTACTCTTGGAAGAAACAGCACACTGTTTACAATGGTCTTGTCGAACCTTTTAGGAAAAGTCCAACAAAATGGACACACTACTGGCCCATTCGCTGAAACCTAGACAATGCTGCACTCATATAACTACAATCCGGGCTAGTGACGGCTCCCTAACAAGTACCCCTGAGGACATAGCCCGAATCTTTACTGACTTTATTAAAACTATGTATAACCACACCAAGGGGCAGGGATGTCAGGATTACTAGTTGATCCAGCACGCAGAATTATATCACACCTAGGACTAAGGATAATGTTTAGCCGGACCTTAGAATGGCCGGACTTAACGTATCCAAGAATAGTCAGAATACTTGCCGAGGGAAAATCAGAAGTCAAGGATACCAGAAATCAAGGAAGTCAAAACGAAGCTAAACTCAGGAACAACCAGCAAAGGGATAAATAAGCTCAGGAACAACCAGCAAATTGATAACCAGCAAAGGGAAACCACGACAGGGCAATGAGTAAAAGGCAAAATTTGTCTAAATAACCGTCCTGCAGATCCGATTGGCCGTAACCGGCCTTTGACCCCAAAACATGCGTGCGCGTCCTTTGCGTGACGTACACGCAAGTCAACTCCGTCAGTACCGTGGGTGGACGTAGGGCTACAATATGGCCTGGATCCACAGTGGCCGGCGTCCACCGACATGCTACAGAAGTCAGGTACACTGGCGCAGGACTGCTGAGCGGCACCTCCATTATTGCCAGGAAGGCAATTTCCACCACAAATTCCATAAGGTGAGGATGAATATGTGGCATTACCCCCTACCTGAAGACTGCCCACCAGGCAGACAGGACCAGGTCTGAGAGGAAAATTAGCGTGGATGGAACAAATCTTGTGGCCAGCATGTATATCGGAAGCCGGAACCCATGAACGATCGGCAGGCCCATACCCTCTCCAATCAACTAAATACTGTAAGGAACCACAAGAAAACCTGGAATCAATTATGGAGGAGACTTCCTGCTCCTCGGAAGATCTGGAGTATGACACTCCGGAGCCGATCCCAGAAGCCGGGGCCACGTCTGCTAGGACGGATAACAGAGCTCCTAAGGTAGATGATGACAGTGCCCCAACTACCAAGGGTGACCTGAATGAGTTTTGTACAATGTTCCAAGCTACAGGAGGATATGCATACAGGAGGATATGCATACCCTCACCAACCGCGTAAAATCAGTGGAAATAGAAGCTGTGATGGCCTGTCAGACTCAACATGATACTGCCAAAATCACACAGCAGCTCACATGCCGGGCAGCAGGCCTAGAAGAAACCCTGCGTCGGCAAAGCCTGAAAATCAGGGCGCACTGCATAACTGCATCAGTATATCAGATGCATACTCTCCTCCCTACTGCCACCTAAGCAGGCAAAATTCATGCTCCTTGAAGGGATATACCGAGTGGGCCGTGCCCGTGGTTCCATGACAGCTCCCCTGTGAGACGTAATAGTGACTTTCCGCCCTTTTGCTGACAAACGGGCAGTGCTGTCTGCCGTTCATGACAGACAACCACTGGATTTTGAAAGCTCAAATCTGTCTTTCTATGAAGATCTCAGCAGATCAACTCTCACATGGAGACTATCACTCCATCCAGTTACTCAACGCCTACAGGCTGCCAGGATTTGCTACCGATGGAGCCTGCCACGCGCAGTGTGCGCCACCGGAGAGGGCAAAGATTACAGACTGGAGGATATCACTGGGGCACCCGGTTTCTTCCAAGCACTCGGTCTGTCCGACCAACCAGCTTCAGCAGCCACCACCGCCTTATCTCCACAATGGGACATTGACAACGTAGTACCATTCACGCCCAGGAACACCCCAGGCAATGGGTGAAGAGTACCCTGATAGCCCTGTGTTAATCCAGGAAATTGAACAGCTCATGCAGTTCCCCATGTTACATGTTGTTATCTAGCTCAATTTACGTTTGCTTTTTACTTATCCATTCCTATTTTAGCATTTTTAAAGGCACAACCTCCACTAGTGAGGATCACTCACCAATGTCTCCCCCCCTTAGCAACCCACGATAACTATGTGCGCCCTTAACACAACCCACCCACCCCCAACACACCAGGGTAATAGAGTGCTGATGCATGCCAGACAGAACCCAAAAGATAGATAGAAATGCCTATAATGTGACGCCTACTGATGTCAGCTCAAGCTAATTACCAGATCTGGCACGCACCATATGGCCTTGCCTACCTATTCCTACCTCAGCAAGTGCTGAACTGGTATTATTACTTCCTCTCTTGTATTCTTATATATAAAAATGAGGTGACTATTATTCGATGTACTGCAATATCCTGAACCACTTTACTATGCATACACTTTTTACATGTTTTACTCTGTCTTGTGCAATTTATCTCAATAAAAAACAGAAGAAAAAAAAAAGATGCATTTTTCAAGCAAAGTTTGCAGCACTTGTTTTACATGTTTATGATGAGTCTGGAGGTCGGGGGAATAAATAAGGATATGTCGGGATTACTAGTTGATGCAGCACGCAGAAATAGTATCACACCTAGGACTAAAGATAACGTCTCACCAGACCTTAGAATGGCCGGGCTTAACGTACCCAAGAATAGTCAAAATACTTGCCGAGGTCAGAGATACAGAATGAGACACAACGATGAGAGAAAGCCAAAAGTCAAGGATACCAGAAATCAGGGAAGTCAAAATGAAGCCAAAGTCAAAAACCAGAATTATACGATCAGGAACACACTCTTGGATAACCAGCAAAGGGAAACCATGGCAGGGCACTGATCAAAAGGCAATTTGAGTTTAAATAACCCTTCTAAAGCTGTAATTGGC